TGTCCAACTGTCTCTGGCTCCAGGGAGACTTTGTAGACAGAGGGTATTACAGCCTGGAGACCTTCACATACCTCCTGGCACTGAAAGCCAAGTGGCCTGACCGCATCACCCTGCTGCGAGGCAACCACGAGAGCAGGCAGATCACCCAGGTGTACGGATTCTATGGTGAGGCTGGGCTGCAGGACCGGGCTGGGGCACAGGAGTGCAACACCTGGCCCTGGGGACACACGTGGGGGTGCTGCAGGGCCTGGGTGGGCTCGGTAGGGCTCAGGTGTCATTGTGCTTGTGGAGTGGGGTGTGCTGAAGGCAGATGTGGGTGCTCCTTCCCTCTAGCACAGGGGATTTCTGCTGGGTTTGGTGCCATATCCAATTTAGTCAGCGACAGGGACAGAGCATCTGCTGCTCAGTCCCTGCTGGTGCTGGACCCAGCATGGTGCTTCTGACAGGGCTGATGTGATGGGTCCAAGTCTGCGGGTTCTGCTGTCAGTGTTTGCTCTGCCTATTTCCCTCTGATCCACTGGGAACAATCTGTTCTCCCAACAGATGAGTGCCAAACCAAATACGGGAATGCCAACGCCTGGAGATACTGCACCAAAGTGTTTGACATGCTGACAATAGCAGCTGTAAGTGCCCCCAGGGGGACAGCCCGGGGGTGTCTGAGGGGCCTGGGGCTGCTGGCCCGGCAGGGTCACCCTCAGCCTGGGCTGGGCGAGGTGCCCAGGCTCTGCACCTTTCCCTGCAGCTGATAGACGAGCAGATCCTGTGTGTGCACGGAGGCCTGTCCCCAGACATCAAGACCCTGGACCAGATCCGAACCATCGAGCGCAACCAGGAGATCCCTCACAAAGGAGCCTTCTGCGACCTGGTGTGGTCAGACCCTGAGGATGTGGACACGTGGGCCATCAGCCCGCGGGGGGCAGGATGGCTCTTCGGGGCCAAGGTCACCAATGAGGTAACGCTGCTGGCTGTGTGGGGGCACTGCAGCCTCCCTGGAACTGCCTGCAACTCCTGGCGGGGGGGAAGGTTTGCTCGCACCAGCTGGGAAGAATGAGCCGTTTGAGCCTGAAAGCACAAACACAACTTGAGATGTGCCAGTACTGATGTGGCTTTTAAACAGTGTCATGTGGGGAGACCCACCGGTGTGCTGGGCTTTGTGTGGGATGCTTTCCTAAGGATTTAGGAGAACAAATACCAATCTCCTTAACGATTCTTGGGAGGAGTCTGTTCCTGTGGAAGGGACGGAGCAGAATGCTCAGGCCCTGCTCTGGTCACACCACAGCTGTTGTGCTCACACCGTGCGTTGTCGTGTGGCCCTTCCACAGCACATCCAGGAGGGATCAGCCCTGGGGGCAGCACAGAGCTGGGTGTCCTAACTGCAGCCTGTACCTCATGGTGCTTCTCTCTGCTCAGGTTTCTCTACCTGTGTTTCAGTGTTTCTCCCTGCTCAGGTCTCACACCTTAGTGTCCTACCCTCCCTCCCCCGTGCGGCGCCGATCCCAGGGCTATGAACAGGGCAGTGCCTGCACTCTGACCTTCCCCTTCCCTTCCAGTTTGTCCACATCAACAACCTGAAGCTGATCTGCAGAGCACACCAGCTCGTCCATGAAGGCTACAAGTTCATGTTTGATGAGAAGCTGGTCACGGTATGGTCAGCCCCCAACTACTGCTACCGCTGCGGGAACATTGCCTCCATCATGGTCTTTAAGGATGTAAATACACGAGAACCAAAGCTATTCCGAGCAGTCCCAGACTCAGAGCGTGTCATTCCTCCCAGGACAACCACCCCCTACTTCCTCTGAGCCCTTGCCCGCCTGCTCCCCTCCCCGTGCTGCCCAACAATATACTTTTTATTGAGCACTTTGCTGCTGAAATGCTGCCTCTTGCCTTTGTTATTTTTAAATTATCTGATTTCGTTGTGTATGATGGTGTCTGTAGCCAGGTCCTTTCCCCCTCCCCGAGATCGATTTCGGAGTATTTGTACTATGTCCCTGAGATTTGTACTACTGCATGTAGCGCCGGCCCGGCCC